ACTTGAAACTTAGTTCCATCTATTTTTCTTATTGGTTCCCAAATATTTAATGGCATCAGAAAGCAGTAATAGCTTAGGTTCTGTTGTTGTCAAGTGTTGGCAGGGAATTAAAATTAGGGATTTAGCAGTAAAGTAAACTGGGGAGCCATCAGGTTCCAGTCCTGTGTTTTGATTTGTGGGTGGTGGGACAAGCTTTGTGCATACAATTACATTATAGACAGCACTTTGATAGGAAGGCTGAATGTAAATGCTAAAAATGTACACTTTTTTTTTCTCACTGTTGCAAACTTGACACTAAATTGTGTGAAACCACGAGTGATTTTTTTTATTTGTACAGTTTCTTGATACAGTATGTGCCATGTTCATAAGCTTTCAAACATATAAACTATCCCCAAAATGTTTTTCCCCCCTATATTTGAATTGAAATCTAATTCTGTCTTTCTTCCATCTAGTTGGAGCGGGAGCTGGAGGTGTGTGAGAAGGAGAGTGGAGAGCTGCAGGAGTATGCCAACTCTGTTCTCCAGCAGATCGCAGACTACTGCCCTGATATCCTGGAGCAGGTTGTCAATGCCCTGGAGGAGTCATCGTGACAACTCTGACCTCAGACACAACCTGGCTGACCCCTGGTCTTCACATAAACTGTAGCTGAGCCCAGGTGCCCCTACTTCCACCAAACAAAACTCCTGGAAGGAAGAGAGAAGGCAGGGACATCATCCACACCACTGAGCTTTTCTTCTTTGTTGCTCTCGTCCACCCTCAAAGAGCTTTCTTGACCCCAGAGTGCTTTCCTGTCTCATGTACGCCTGTCAGGCCTGCAAATCAAAATTCAATATGTTCACAAAGCCTGTCAAAGTGTTGGAGCAGTTATGAGAATACTCACTGCAAATGGATGTCTGTTCGTTTAATAACAGCCATGGCAGATGAAGAGGACGAATGAAAGTACACCCCTAAAATGCGCTATGTCAGGCAGGCAGCAGCATACTGGAGTTTGGTGGAAAAGACTGTGTGAGAAGTTCATCTTTTGAATTTGTGAACATGCCAAATTTGATTTTGCTTGTAGTGTACTTGTGTTGGGAGAGTAACTATCACATGAAAGAAACAAACATCCGCACAAAGTCTTGGAGTATACTGCCAGCTTTCTTCTCCCTAGACTGCTTCAGTCACAGCAGCAATTGCCAGATTAAGCACAGTTACTTCACCCACTCTTAGTGGCTTACCTCTTTTGATTCTTCATAAAAATCTCAAGTCAAAAGGAGAAAGTTTATTCTGAAACAGGAAAGCACTTGTTTAGTCTTTGAGCACTGGGGAGCTGCTACATCACAGAGCCATGTGTATTTTAGTCCCAAATTATTGGGTTTAGAAGCTGCAGTTGCTAGTTAGAAATACAGATACTAGTGGCCAATCATGCTGGGAAACGCCATTTTTTAACCAAATAAATGCAGCATATTTCTTCTCCCAGCTCAGAGCTGTGGATCTGTGTAGCCTGGATTAGGTTGTAGCAACGTTTGCGCTGCGTCGTCTGTGGCCATTGCCGTGAGAGGGGGATCCAGACCTGACCTTTGACACAGATCAAAGACCAGATTTTTGTTACACTAAGTTCTCAGTGGATGAGAGAGAGGGGGAAAAAAGCTTTTATTCTTGGTGACCTTTTTCCCCCCATTTGTTTGAGGTATGCAGTGTTTCTTCTGAGGACGTTCTAGTGGCCTTGCAGCATGCACAGAGATCAGTACTGGACCTAATGCAGGGATATTTACACCTCTGTAATACTGGTGCTAAGGCATGGCGTAAGAATCTTCGATCTGATCCACTGATCATTCCGTCTCATCTATAGATAGTACTTGCAGCCCACCTGATCTTTAGCTTGCCGACTGAAACACTGAACAATATGAGCGATGCCTCTTTTTCTTGTATTTTTCAGAACACTTACAAATGTACAGTGTTTTAGCGACACATTTGTAAGTGATGCCTCATTTAATTTTTTTTATTTATCTTCAGGGCTGATGCTTTTAATTACTAAGTGCATCTACATTTACAGGAAATTAAAGTCACTTTTGAGCAGATTTTGGCTTTTTAAGATCTATTTGTAAATAACGTGATATATACAGTGACTGAATACAAGTAATTAAATGGAAGGTGTTGTGTGTTCTTTAAAAAAAAAATGTTAAAAGCAGTGCAGTTGTCTTTTGTGTTTAATTTTGTCTTCAAGACAAAGTGTGTGTGTGCGTGACAGTACTGCCATAAGTTGCGGAAAGTCGTTCTATAGAGATATATAAATACATATATAAAAGTGTTTACTGTATGGATATGCATTGAATGTTTGCACAGAGTCTTGATGAGAGAGTTGCTCTGAACAAAATAACTGTCAAGTTATTGTCCTCAGCAGAAACGGAGGAAAAGTGTCAAAAAACCTTTTGTGTCGATATTACGTGTGAACAAATGTTTTCAAACCATTACTGTGTGATGAGAGAGTACTTTTGTTGTATTGATTTCTAATTGTAATTTTGTTTAAATATATTTTCACCATATGGTAATGTAAATGTATTTTCCTGAGACTTCAGTGTTTCTGTTCATTTCTTCTTACTTGTTCTGTCAATGGTTTCTGTTAATTGTCAAAGACAGACTAAGTCGGATGGATAAAAATACACCTTCAGCCATGGTTGCCCCTCCTGCTGTTATAAAAAGAACGTTATGGAACAAAACTGCACCAGTATAAAAATAGATTTGTTTTCTAACACACTTCTTGTTTGTGATTATTTTACAGATAAAATGGGGCAGGTGGATTTTAAAGAAGACTAACTAGCGTTATCAAACGATAAATACATTGGTTTTGGAGGATGCTTATTTTCATACTTGTCTGTCAAACCTCTGAGTGAAGATGAATTTCTTTCTGTTCCTTTTAAAGCTCCTTCACCACTGAGTTTAAAAGAAGAAAGTGATTATCCAGTATTTTATTTCCATTACTTTCTCCTGTGTATCTCTTGCCTTAATGTCTGGTCATGTCTTCTTCTCAAACTCCTTACAAAGAGCTGAAAGGGGTTCTGTCAAGCTCATGTTTTTTTTTTTTTTTCCTTTTGCATTTGTATAAGAAATGTACTGCCTTCTGTCTATTCATGTTAGGAATCAAACTGTGTTAAAATAAGACAAAACAAGTGTGTTTGAGTTATTTGGATTTTGTATGTATGTAAATAAAAAATAGATAAGCATTTGTTTCTTGTTGAAGTAGCTTCCCTTTAAAACAAACCAGAGATAAAGACATCACTCAAGTGTGTGAATGTTTTGCTGATTTTATTTATTAATCAGTTTCGAGGCAACCCCTAATGGACCACATTTAAAGGTGAGTACTTGACGTTTTCGACTATATTGTTGGAAACCAAATGTTTAAATATGACTTAAGTGGTTTTGGTGTCAATATTTTGTTGTTGTTTTTTTTAACCCATGATTATCTTGTTTTTACAGGATACACATTAGCCTGGTTTCTATTGAAGCCTAAATTTTTAATTCGCAAAAACTGCTAATGAGTTGCACCTCTGTCAAGTAGTTGCGTCGGAAGGTGGTGGTATAGAGAACGTACCATATCATGGTTGTGATTTTTAAAAGTAGAAAAAGTAGCGGTTACAAACTGGAAACAAAGACTGATAAATATGAGAGAGGTTACGGGGTTTGTTTCCTGGATGAGCCCGAGGAATGTTTTAATCTCACCCTCAGCCTACACGCCCCTGGAGCAGCCATGTTTGTTTCGCGCGTTATGGGAAACCGGAAAGACGCCGTCAGCTGAAACCGTCGTCACGTGAGTTCCGCGTTCGCTTTGTCAGAGGTTATTGGGCAAATGTGCTTCCTACTCCCGTTTTTGCGCATTAACAATTTTTCACATAATTCAAAAACCACCTCAGGTGAGCGTAAAGGGTTGGAAGATTTAACGGAATTAGATAATTTTTCTGGATTTTGGCGTTTCCACCACCCTTTTCTGATGCAATACTTCAAAATGCGCATAAAACAGGGTAATGGAAACTCAGCTGCTGAGTGATTGGCCACAAACCTACTCATTCACTCGTTGAGAAAATTTTCATTTCACTTCCGAGTACAGAGTGAGTTAAGCCCCTGCAGCTGATTGTGGTCCAGTCTGTGTTCACACAATGCTTAGACTTTAATTTCATCTGTATTCAGGAGAAACGTGAGTCTAAGAGTGAGCAAGAACCCTAAATGTGATACAACAGCCGTAAAAGTACTCTGTGGCTATAAAGTGGAAACAATGAATTTGTTTGTTATCGATTGTTAGCAAATAGTAATAGTCAAATTACATAAAAGGTTCTTGATAGAACAATCTACATCACTACAAGGTCTGTTTACCAGATCCTCTGGACCTTTCAATGGTATCACAATCTTTTTAAGCAGAGTGCATTTAAGTTGTCATGGATTCATACTGGTTTCATTTTTTCTGTGCCTGTCTCTGTGGTCTTTCCTCTACTGTGTTTCCTAAAGCTCATTTAACATGATTGTCTGTGGCTGAGACAAATCATTGAGCACTCATTTCAAACATAGCAATAAAATGCATTACAGTCTAATGATACCTAACCAGGGTGTAAACTTGTTTTACTAGGGCTAATGAAATGTAATGAGACACCTAAACCACACTTAGGAGTGTAAATTCATGTTTCTACAACACAATGACTCAGATTACCCACTATTTCATTGTATTAAATGTGTGTATTCCCATCAGCTGCTCAGGCTGGTAAAATATGATATATTAATAATTGGTTTTACCTGCTGTGAAATGCTTATGATAATGTTAATGACATAATTGACTCTAGATTTAATTTAGTGGTAATATTCTCTAAAGTAGCCTACTAAAAGGAAAGAAATCATAAAAACATTGTAATTACACAAAAAAAATTGGCCATTAAGTTTCACAGATGAAACATGGTTCAAATGATGCACTAAACTGCACAAACCCTACAGAAATCATTGGTAAAGTGGTCATAAATAAGAAAAACGGACAAAATTTAAACACATTTTGCTATCTTTATTTATAAATATCACTACCGTATGAATATAAAGCAATCTTAAATTACATATTTTTTAAAAATACAATCAATGGAAGATCCACAGGAGAAAAAGCACTGAAGAAAAGTTTAAGGTATTGCATATAGCATTGGCAAATGTTAATTACTATGCCTTGCTGCAGTTGTGATGACAAACATTTGACAAAGTAGCATATTGGGACATCTAATACATACTTATTTCCTCAGGAATATTTAGTATCCAACTATACATAGGTAAACAAAGAGAGACAGGAGTGATCCACCCACTTCAATTTGAAGTACAACTTTGCGAACAGTCATTCAATACAAAAAATATTGGTTACACAAGTAAACAAACACATGAGCCAAAAACCATTCTATCAAAACTTTGATCCAAGGTAGTCCGGCCTCTGGTAAGAATTTAATTGCCTATTTATTGTTACTCAATGAGATCGTTATTAAATATAAAAATCTCCACTTGTTGTGAGTCACAAAAGTATGCATTGTAGTCCAGTATTCAGCGATAGTAGGCACTCCTGTGTTTGATGAGTGAGGTAGATAGATAAAGAAGTGTACACAGGCTGAGTCTAAACAATGTACATCAGAGCACAAAACTGAAAGTAGGAGTAGAATATTACAGCAGAGGTGAATATTATTCCAGTGATCACTGCTGAGTTCCTCTCCTTGTTTTTAGTCACAGTATAGAAGTTAAAATTAACTATGGATACAGGCAGTGCCTCTCAGTACACCACTGAACATTACTGTATATACAATCACACACGTGTATATTAAACAGATTTCACCTCACCCTCTCACTCTCAGTCATCTGCCACAGTCCCAGATTTAACACTTTAAGGCACGGGAGCTGTGTTATCCTTTCCAGACCCCTCTTGGTGATCCTAGTACAACCATACAGATCAATCTCTGTCAGCTGGGTCAGGTTGTCAGCTATCAACTCCAACCCTTTGTCAGTGATTCTCACACACTGCCCAATGTTGAGAGTCTTGAGTTCGTGCATCTGGCGTACCATCCTGTTAATGCCATCATCACTGATATGGCAGGAACACAGAGAGAGGGACTTGAGCTGATACAATCCCTGGGCAATGTATGCCAGGCTCTGGTCCCCGATCTTATCACAGAAGGAAACATCAAGCCCAGACAGCTGGAGGGAGCCCATGGCCAGATGCATTATTCCTGTATCACTGATGTTATCACATGAGCGTAGGTTTAGACTGCACAGGTGGGTCATATGCGACAGGTGGATCATCCCTGCATCTGATATTCCACCACAGAAGCTGAGGTTGAGCACTTTCAGCTTGTTTAGGCCTTTTGAAACATGTTTGAGAGAAAGGTCAGTCAGCTTCTGGCAGTCCTGCAAGGTTAACTTCTCCAGAGACAGGCAGCCCTCTGCAGCACTGCGGGTCATGCCAGACAGGTGACCTATGCCCACATCGGATACGTGCCTGCAGCTGCGCAGGTTAAGGCTCCTAAGTCTGTGCAAGCCCCAGGCAATGAGTAGCAGGCCTGTGTTTGTGATGTTGCTACATCCCCCAAGTTCAAGCACCTCCAGGTTTTTGAGGTACTGGGCAATCCTGCCCAGACTGGAGTCTGTGATCTGTTTACAAAGGCTGAGGTTCAGCACCCGCAGGGAGGGGATGTCCTGCACAAAAGCATGCCCAAGTCCGTTGTCTGTGAGGTTGAAACATCCACACAGGTTAAGACTTTCGATATGCGGCATCCCTTGAATCACATAGCTCAGACTTCGCCTCAGGCTGAGAATCTGAACTTTTTTGATCCCCCTGGTCTGTAGACTGGGGAACAGAGATGGATTAGCTCGCCGCAGATGAAGCTTGGCTTCCACCCCCCTCCACACAGACTTGTGGTAGGACGCGTCTCTCCAGGCCGCGCACACTTGGGCTACTCTTCCTTTGTCTTTAATGTCCAGATAACTGAAAATAATAGCCAGGATCTCCGGGAAAAGGCACGATATGTGTGTCTCCATTTCAAACGTGACTGCAGGCTGAGTTGTTTTCGTAGCAGAGGTTGCTTGTGGGCGGCAATGCCGTTGTGTTTAGCTAGACGAAACTCCCCAGCCTAAGTTGCTGGCTGTCTCGGCAACGTTATCAAATGTGAACTAGCATACGAACATATTAACTACATCCAGTTAGCTTTGTGTGTAAGATAACAGAAATCATCTAAGCGCAACTTAAAATGAATCTTAATAAACCACAGTACAAAACTACCAACGGCAGTGTTCGTAGGTTGGCAACGGAAATGTAAATGCCGAGAGCCGCAACATTAACACAGCACGCTAGGCTAACAGTATTGCGCTAACGTTAGCATTAATGCTATAAACTTATGAGCTTCAAAGTCGAACCTCCTCGCCCAAGATGCCCAAAACAACCTTGCTAATCGTTACAACACTTCATCGCACAATGGTGGACAATATTTTTTTGTTGTTGATAGAGACTTTAATCTTAGGAGCTGTTTTTCTTGTACACTATAACTGCGAGGCTCCTTTACCTCCTCGGATATATGCAGTAGCTGCTGCGTCTTCTTCTTCTTTTGATGTTTATTAGCGGTTTGCAAGCCAACCTAAGGTGCATTACCGCCACCTGCTGGGCTGGAGTGTGAAACGCTAATAGAGCTGTAGGAATACATTAAAAAATGTATCCAGTAGCTTCGGAGCATCCACTCCTGAATAAACCAATTCTTCTTCCTCCCTCCTTCTTGTGATGTTCATTGGCGTTTTGCATGCCAGCTTAAGGTCCATTACCGCCACCAGCTGGATTGGAGTGTGGAACAACAATAGAGCTGAAAGAAATGGGGAAAAATCCGCTAGCTCATAGCGAATTTACACACTGACCAACGCCTCATAGTGGGAGTCATAAATACTATATTGGCACCACAACAGAGCTTTAATAAAAACACCAATAAATTATTTGGCTGATTTAATTTGCCGCTTTCAAAGAAAAGTGTAGTGTAACAAAAACCAGACGCAGAGAAGTACGTTGTAAAAATAAATTGATAAATAATACAAGGCACAGTTAGTTAAGAAAGGGATGATGGCTCAGTATTAGAATGACAACTTCATTTTAGCCAGGTAACAAATGGACATATGGGTCAGTTTTGAGTACTTGAATATACAGCATTATGCAGGAGAAAATTCAGTTGCACAGAAGCTAAGTAGGCATACTCACAGGCACGCCACTCTGAAACTGAAGCAAAACCAGTAAACATTAGTCAGTCACTTGTCATTTTTCAAGTAGACATTAATCACTTATCATTGCTATAATCACACCCCAAATCAATGATTGATATTTATGTATCTGTACTGGAAACTAATTCCTTGTGTGTAATATACTTGGCCAAATAAAGGTGATTATCTTGATCATCATCAGGTACATCTCGCTCCTTCTCTAAGTCTGAGGGCAGAGCTGGAGTGTTACTTTTATTGCACGCTTCCACAAGCACGAGTGCTGACAGATCTGGCAACAAATCCTCTCAAGATAGGAACATAACAGTTTGGGAAACAGCACAAGATCAGCACAGGCATCACAAGATTTAGCAAAAACATCCCCCACCCTCCTAACGCTTCTCTGAACATGGGGAACGGGTCCCACTGTGGTGACTGGGCGTGCATCAAAACAAGTTGGAGGTCATGCATTTCATGGCTCATGAAAGTTAGCTTGGCATCTGCACTAGGAATGTAAGTGCAACACTGATTGCCAAACTTTGTCTTTGAACACACACGGATCCAAATGTTGGCTAATGTGTTAGGTCTCTGTTCTGCACTGACTATCAGCTTGTCATGTATGTAGTCTAAGTAATGCATAGCCTCTGAAGCTCCTCATAAAGGCAACAGCCCCATAAAAGATTTCTAAACTGTTTTTGGATGATGTGACACATCGCAAGATCATGCATGCAGATGGGCTAACGTAGAATATCTAATGTTCAAAGTCTCTGGAAGGTATGAGGCAAGGGAGGCAGACATTACATGACCTTTAATAATTAATTAAATAAAGGAATTGGTAGTAACACCAGAGGAGCAAAGCACCACCTACTGGTTGACAAAGTGGTCACTCGAGACTGCAAGACTAGGCACACCAACCTGTGCACTGCCTGGATTGACTACAAGAAAGCCTATGACTCAGTGCCTCACACATGGATCCTGGAATGCTTGGAACTGTACAACATCGACAGGACTCTAAGAGCCTTCATCAAGAACTCAATGGGAATGTGGAAAACAACCCTAGAGGCCAAGTTCAAGCCAATTGCACAAGTCAACATCAAGTGCGGTATCTACCAAGGAGATGCTCTGTCCTCGCTGCTGTTCTGCATAGGGCTGAACCCCCTCAGCCAGATCATAACCAAGAGTGGTTACGGATACCAACTACGGAATGGAGCAACCATCAGCCACCTCCTCTACATGGATGACATCAAGCTGTATACCAGGAATGAACGAGACATCAACTCACTGATCCACACCACTAGGATCTACAGCCAGGACATC